ACACACACACACACACACACACACACACACACACACACCCACACACTGCATAATGCATTGATGGTGGAGGATCCATGTGTCCATTTAGCGTTCATAACACAAGCAGCAAAGAAAACAAAATCATGACTCAATGTTCCATCTCCATCAGTTCTTCACTTTTGGACACAACATGTGTTTTATCAATGCAGTGCTATAGAGCAAACAGCAATTTCCACACTTTAAGAGTAAAGCAAATAGTTGAGTTTCTTCAGATAACGAGTGCACTGCGGTTGTGTTCTAGGTCCAGATCTGTAAACGCAGTGTGGAGGTGATGGATGCAGTTCGTCGTGGAGCCCAGTTGGCTATAGACGAGTGCCAGTTCCAGTTTCGCAATCGTCGATGGAACTGCTCAACTTTGGAAACCATGCCCGTGTTTGGCAAAGTAGTGACCCAAGGTAGGGTTATACCTTGCAGGAACTGCAGGGGTCTCCCTACACAACATTAATCAACATTTCTGCCTATTATTATTTTTTATTTGTAATTATTGTCTTTCTTCAGGATGTAGCAATCAGAGTGCTTTTTTCATTTGTATAACATGTTTTGTGTGCCCCTGTGTTTTCCTACGTGTGTCAGGCACCCGCGAGGCAGCCTTTGTGTATGCGATCTCAGCAGCCAGTGTGGCATTCGCGGTCACAAGGGCCTGCAGCAGCGGAGAGCTGGAAAAATGTGGCTGTGACCACAATGTGCATGGAGTCAGTCAGGAGGGTAGGTCTCTGCAGTGCTTTCACACATGGAGAGGGAACAGAAAGGCCAACACCATTTTCTCTAAAAAAAATTAGATTAAGGCCGTTTCTCAGTTCACAGGAACACGAGTACAAACTTATGTTCTTGACACGTAGCCTATGTTCTCGAGAAGAACCCAGGAAAGTCTGGACTGTGGGAGAACGGGAGCACGCAGAATAAATCTGGATCGATTGGAAGAGAAGTGTACTGATGACATCACCACATTCAAAGCTAGTCTGGAGCTACATTTCATCTCCTGTTATTAATAGTCTCTAGATAATAATAAATTATGACTTTTTTTCATTTAGTGGAGGAATAATAATTAACACAGTCAGATAAACACAAATCAAATGAACATTTTGCCAAATAAAACAATCAAACCTCCATCAGAGCCAGCGATAGTTAAATAACGGCTATGCAGAGAGAGGGCTGCTGCAGACGGGCTACCGTTAGCCCTGGCTGCTGCAGACGGGCTAACGTTAGCCCTGGCTCCTGCATACGGGCTAACGTTAGCCCTGGCTGCCGCAGACGGGCTACCGTTAGCCCTGGCTGCTGCATACGGGCTAACGTTAGCCCTGGCTGCAGCAGCCAGGGCTAACGTTAGCCCTGGCTGCTGCATACGGGCTACCGTTAGCCCGGCTGCTGCAGACGGGCTAACATTAGCCCTGGCTCCTGCTGACAGGCTAACATTAGCCCTGACTGCGATTTGCCTCGGAGCTCTGCTGGTTGCCCCAGTCCTTTTTTGAACTTTAACTTTTTTTTAAATAATGCACTAAATTAGTCAATTGCCCAAGTAGTGAAACTTGAAGTATAATGTTCTCGCCATATTTTGAGGTCTTCAACAGGGGGTCTGCGACCCCTAGGGGATCCACAGAGGTACTGCATGGAGGTAGTGAAAGTTTTGGTTGATTAGACTGTTTTTTATATTCCCTCCTGCATTTTTTTTCCTACTAATTGAAATGTCTTTAAATCCACATGAACATGAATTCAACAGACTGTAGTAAACAGATAAATGGAGGCAGAAGATGTCTTTC